TCACTCTGTTGCCCAGGTTAGAGTGCCGTGGTGTCAGTCTAGCTCACAGCGACCTCCAACTCCTGGGCTCAAGCAATTCTTCTGCCTCAGCCTCCCAAGTAGCTGAGACTATAGGCATGCACCACCATGCCTGGCTAATTTTGTCTATATATTTTTAATTGGCCAATTAATTTCTTTCCATTTTTAGTAGAGACGGGGTCTCGCTCTTACTCAGGCTGGTTCTGAACTCCTGACCTTGAGCAATCCCGCCAGCCTCAGCCTCCCAGAGTGCTAGGATTACAGGCATGAACCTGACTTGATCTTTTATCCAGACCCCTAAAACTCTCCCTGTATCAGCAATAAGGCTGTTTCACTTTCTTATCATGCATGTGTTCGCTGGAGTGGCACTTTTAATTGCCTTCAAGAACTTTTCCTTTGCATTTACAACCTGGTTAACTGGTGCAAGAGGCCTAGCTTTCAGCCTGTCTCAGCTTTTGACATGCCTTCCTCACTAAGCTTAGTCTTTTCAATCTTTTGATTTAAAGTGAGAGACATTCAACTCTTACTTTCACTTGAACACTTAGAGGCCACTGTAGGGTTAACTGGGCCGATTTCAATACTGTTGTGTCTCAGGGAATAGGGAGGCCCAAGAAGGAGAGGGATGGGAAAACAGATGGTCAGCGGGGCAGTCAGAACACACACATTCATCAATTCAGTTCACTGTCTTATATGGAGCACACTTCCTGGTGCCTGAAAACAATTACAATAGTAACATTAAAGGTCACTAATCACAGATCACCCTAACAGATACAATAATAATGAAAAAGTTTGAAATATTGTAATATGTGTATTGTAATATGTAAAATGCGTCACAGAGATATGAAGTGAGCATGTGCCACTGAAAAAATGGAGGCAATAGACTCACTTGACACGGGGTTGCCACAAAACTTTCAATATGTTTAAAAAAAAAAAGGCATTATCTGTGAAGCACAACAAAGCAAAGTGTAAAAAAGTGAGGTATGCCTATAGTCAAATGGAAAGAACCTTCTGTTTTACTATTTAATTCAAATAGGTTAAGTTAATCAGCAAAAACAACCCCAAAATCCACTTGCTTAACAAAGGTTGTTTATTACTCAGACTACATGTCCACCACGAGCCAGCTAAGGGGCTCTGAGCCTGATTGTCACCCAAAGAGCCAGGTTCACAGAAGCTCTATCTCCACTCCAGCTTCCTCGCCGACCCAAGCAGAGAGAAAGAACACAGCAAATTGCATATTGGTGCTTAAAATTTCTATCTCAAAGTGACTCATATCACTTCTGCTCACACTTCGTTGGCTTTGGCCAGGGGCAGATGCAATCCTACTGTGTATCCAGAAGGAGAATAGGTGATATTTAGTTACCAGCACTCATGAGTATCACACACACTTTATCCAAAGTCTAGTATTACACAGAAATTCCATATTTTAGAGCCAGAAAGTATCCTTCACTGATGAGGGAATCTGAAGCTTAGAGGGGGACTTAATGTCCAGCAAATCACACAGCTGGGCAGTTGCAGAACACCTACCAAAACCCAGGGCCCTGTCTCTCCCTGGTGCACACTCCTTCTATTATTCTAACCTCCCACCTCCCAATGAGAATGTTTGTCCATGAAGTAAGTAATCACCAACCATTTAGAAACAAAACACTGATGTAAACCTTCTGGCAAGTTTTAACTCCACGGCCCATTATGGCCAGATCAGCAGCCTGGTGTGTCCTAACGCATGGCTGCAAAGTTCTCCTCTGGAACATTTTGCCATGCTGTCACATGTCATACACAGATGCACTTGTTCAAGCATCACAGAGGCGCTATCTGCCTGCACTAGATGCTGGGGAAACAAAGACAAATAAGGCCCACAGGATGCCCAGGCACCCTGCCCAGTACTTAATAAGTTCTTCATTAATATTTGTTGAATGGGAATGTCTGTCTGTCTTCCCCCATGAGAAATGTGAAGTTCAATGAGGGGAGGGATTTTTGCCTGTTTGTGCACATCTATATTCCCAGTACCTAAATGATGCCTAAATTTTTGCCAAAAATTAACAAATAAATGCACTAACAAAGGAATATAAAGTCCCTACATTCACAATCCAATGGGGAAAGCAAACACAAAAAACTGTATTACATGGTAAGTTCAATGATAGATTTTATTATGAAAATAATAGAAGAAAAAACTAACACCTAACTATTCAGTCCAGTAAAATCCCGCCACCCAGAGAGACAAAGATATGAAGAAGTCTTCCTCGAGAAAGCTGGAGCCAGGGACAAAGAGCAGAAGGGGAGCCAAAAAAAAGAAGTGCACAGGTGTGAGAGCTGTGTGAAGGGAAACCGTAAACACACTGCTGCTAGAACATCAGGCAAAGACGGTGGGGGTGGGGAAAGAGATCAGTTAGTCTGGGTCCTCCGAGAAGCAGACAGCAAGACAAGGTTAACCATGCAAACATTCTATTACAGGAAACGCCCGTGAGAAACAATGGGAAGAGCTGGTCAGACCACAAGGCACACTAGACCCCAAGTGAAAAGAGAGGGAAGGAAGCTAAGTGAAATTATCCTCGGATGCCATGCCATCTAAGAAAGCTTCCCCGAGGTCACGGAGAATCCCTGAACCTACGCCGACCGTCAGAGCAGCCCCACCCTGCTGGTCACTAGCTGGGTACAGTCATGGGAAGCGTGGACTTAGAGCAAAAGCAGTTATGGATTTCTTCTTCAAACAGCTGGAGGCTGTGGTCACTTATGCTCCCTGCAGTTGAAGGACAGCAAGGTGCATTCTCATAGCCACTGTAAGAACAGAGAGGCACTTGGCGACCAGATCTGAGAACTTGAACTCTAACCTGCAGGTAGGGGATTCTAAATTTGAAACTCATTTCATAAATCAACTCAGACTTCTAGCTTCCCTAAATCAGTCAATAATACCGAGCCAGAAGCAAGCCCCATTCTACATAATCCCCATCACTTTACCATCCCATCCAACCCCCTAGCTTTACAGAGGAAATTAAAACTCCTAAAAGCTATGTGGCATTTTTCTCAAGGTTACAAAGAAGCAAAGGCAGAATAAGAATCCAGAGGTCCTTATTCGAAGCTCTTTGCAATATTACCTTCACGCAACCCAATCAAATTTTTTTCCTAACATCAGCATCAATGTTAACAGATTTTTTTATGGCTATACAATCATCAACTCCACCGCAACACCCAGTCACTTACATATGTCAAAAGGCAAAATGATTTATTTCATGAGCCTTGTTCCATCGCCACACTTAGACTGCAAATTCTGGAAGGCAACAGAGAAACTGCTGGAGTGGTTTTACTTTTATCTTTATACCACAGGGATGTGAAGGTGAGTTGCCTATAACATGGATGATCCCAAGGTCAGAACTGATTCTGACCTGCTGGTCACAAGGGCGTCCTCCACCCTTGGCCAAAGAGGCTAACCTGCCCCATCATGGGGACTGTTCTTCTATTAAGCCCAGAAGTAACCGAGCATCACTGCTAGAACTTCTGACTTACTTCTCCACAACACAGCCCTCTTTCCCTTACTTTGCACTCCCAAAATATACCACCTTCCTTGTTTCCTATAATAAAGTCATAAACAATAATTCAGAAGTTAATATTCTACAGCAACATAGTCCACAACAGTCATTTTCATAGAATGCTGGTCATTCTATGGAATGCATTTTGGAGACACTAAACGCCTTCCTGGGCATGAACTCATTCCATACACAAGGCTGGCCCTGGAAGTTAAATTCCCTTTGGTCCTATCTGTGGGGCCTACAATTAAACCTGCTGCTCCCCATCCTCCTCCTTCATCCCTGGGCCACCTGACTACTAAGTCCAAGGATGTCACCCTCTCTCATAGCGCCCTTTCTTTCCTTCAACTGCCACCCGACTTAACTGACGGCCTGGTGAGTACCACAGAGCTTCAATGGCCCAAAGTCTCAAGTACCAGGCCATAGAACTTGAGGAGAAAAGATCTACCACTTCCCCCAAAAGGTATAAAAAAGTATCACTTCAGACTCTTCCTTCAAGTATAGCAATTTTAACACCCTGGCCCCATCTTACTGTCAAAACCGCATGCTAAAAATGCACCTTTAGAAATGCAAAGTAAAACCACAATGAGATACTACCTTACCCCTGTCAGAACAGTCTTTATTAAAAAGTCAAACAACAATAAATGCTGGCCTGGATGTGGTGAGAACAAACATCTATTGAGCCACTAGTGTGTGCCAGGCATTACTCCAAGTGCTGAAAATCCCTCCTTGTGTGCTAGTGAGTGGTCTGCAACACAAAATGGATAAGGTACAGCTTTGTTACAAGTTCCCCAGGGCTGACACAGTATTAGATGCATATGGAAAACTTTAGGCCACAAAGGCATTCCTACGTCCAGACTTCTTCTGGTCATTACTATTTTCAACACTTTATTTGACTAGCAAAAGAAAAGATCAACATCATCTCCAAAGCACAGGACCTTAGGTGGCCCCAACTTGAGTTATGATCTTTAAGCTCTCCAGGTCCACATACCTTTGACTCTACTCTTCATGCTTTTCTTCAGCACATTTTCTCCACTATCACCTCCTCCTTCTTCTGCCGCCACCAAAGCAAAGAACTCTTCCAAACTTTCGCCTTCCACTTTTGCCAAGCAAAAATTGCTAAACTTCAATGTGCCAGGCCCTTCCAAGAGTATCTATGAAGATTAAAAAACGTTTTCAGAAACAAATTCAACTTGATTTGCACATCCAATAGTAACTCTTATAATTGCACTAAAGCACTTTTGAAGCCAGGCATAGTGGCATGTGCTTATAGTCCCAGCTATGCAGGAGTCTGAGGAGGGAGGATCGCTTAAGCACAGGAGTTCGAGGTTGCAGTGAGCTATGACTGCACCACTGCACTCTCCAGCTTGGGCAACAGAGCAAGACCCCATCTCAAAAATAATAAACAACAATAAGAAAAAGAACTTTTGAGCATTGGCTTTCTTGCTCCATCACAACTCGGAAAAATACGTGCTTATAATTTTTTTTAAAAAAAGAAGATAAAGAAAAATAAACCCATTTTTTTTTTTTTTGAGACAGAGTCTCACTCTGTTGCCCAGGCTAGAGTGCTGTGGTGTCAGCCTAGCACACAGCAACCTCAAACTCCTGGGCTCAAGCAATCCTTCTGCCTCAGACTACCAAGTAGCTGGGACTACAGGCATGTACCACCATGCCCGGCTAATTTTTTCTAAATATATTTTTAGTTGGCCAATTAATTTCTGTCTTTTTTTTTTTTTTTTTTTTTAGTAGAGACAGGGTCTCATTCTTGCTCAGGCTGGTTTTGAACTCCTGACCTTGAGCAATCCACCTGCCTTCAGCCTCCCAGAGTGCTAGGATTACAGGTGTGAGCCACCACACCCAGCCTAAACCCAACATTTTAATAATAAAAAATTAAATTGTCCATTCTTAGACATATATAGTAAACACATCATATAACCATGAAAGGAAACCTCAGTACTTTGGGAAACAAAGAACAATGTACATAGAAAATCTATGCTCTCCAACCTTCAATGACAGCTTTAGGATTTGAAAACGCACCTATGTGAGGTGTTGTTTATTCAAGAGAAGTATAATGTGAGATTAGAACCAGGGTTTTGAAGTCAGAGATCTGGATTTTAGCCCTAGGTCCACTACTTACTTGCTGTCTGACTGAAAAATTTATTCAACCCTTCTAATCCTCAGTCTCTTCACCTACAAAATGGGAATAATAATACCCCACACTCTTTGTAAGGATTAAATGAAGTTGTACGTGCAAAGGCCATTAACAAGTCACTAGCATGTGATAAGTGCTCAAGTCTGCTAATATAACTTGTGATTAGAAGTTATCTACTGGTTGTTGAAACCACACCAGGAACCAATGTTCTATTATTTCTACAGTTTCCTCTATAGTCATTAAAAGTATTTCTGGGTGGTTGCAATGGGTCAGGTGGCTTTATGATTTTTTTATAAGGCAATCTGAAGTTAACTCTTAACTTCTAGTTACAAATACTTACTAAGGATGTCTCTTGATCTACAACAGTGGCTTTTAAATTTATTTGAGCATCAGAATGTCCTGGAGGACTTGTGAAAGCACAGACTACCAGTCACTACCTCCAGAGTTTATGATTCAAGAGGTCTGGGGTGGGGCCCAAGAGCCTGCATTTCTGGCAAATCCAGGTCCTGCTGATGCTGGCGGTCCAGAGAACACACTGTGAGAACCACTGGCAGGGGTCAGCAACCTTCTTTTAAAGAGCCAGCTAGTCTTTGTCCTGACTACTCAATTCTGTTGTTGTACAACAGCAGACACTGACAATACATCGTGAAAGGGTGTGCCTTTGTTGCAATAAAAGTTTATTTACAGGCCGGGCACGGTGGCTCACGCCTGTAATCCTAGCACTCTGGGAGGCCAAGGTGGGTGGATTACTCAAAGTCAGGAGTTCAAAACCAGCATGAGCAAGAGCAAGACCCTGTCTCTACTATGAATTAAGAAATTAATTGGCCAACTTACATAGAAAAAATTAGCTGGGCATGGTAGCGCATGCATGTAGTCTCAGCTACTCAGGAGGCTGAGACAGCAGGATTGCTTGAGCCCAGGAGTTTGAGGTTGCTGTGAGCTAGGCTGACGCCACGGCACTCACTCTAGCCTGGGCAACAAGTGAGACTCTGTCTCAAAAAATAAATAAATAAAAAGTTCATTTACAGAAATGGGAACTCTGCCCAATATTTGCCAACCTCTGTTCTAGAACGCAGGTTACATTACAAAGCAGCCTGAATTTCTTAGATCATAACAGCTGATAATAAACTTCATTAAACAACTCCCACACACTCTTTGGCAAACACCACAGCCTCTGGGCCAAATCCCAGCCACTGCCTGTTTTTGTACATCTAGGAGCTAAAAGTGGTTCTTATATTTCTAAATGGTTGGGGAAAAAAAGAAGATGATTATTTCTTGATAGGTAAAAATTACATGAAATTCAAATTTCAGTGTCCATAAATACAGTTATGGAAACACAGTCACACCTATTTGTTTGTGTATTTTTATAGCTGCTTTTAGCACTACAATGCAGTTGAGTGGCTACAGACTTGGGGCATCTGCATATTTCAGACAAGAACCTCTATTCTTTATGCAGGATTTTTAAGGAGTTTTCTTTTTTAGGTTTAATTATCTTCTCATATGGATGGCCTCCAAAAATAAAGTTGAAAATGAAATATTCAACTTTTCATTTCATTTGCATACATTAAAGGAAAAGATGTAAAAACTCAGACTAATAATATATACAATTACCATGAGTATGTGTAATACTTATAAAGACAATAATAGATGCCACTGATTGTGAGCACATTACCTACCAGAAAGTGCCCTAGAAGCTTCACCTAAAAATATGTAATTTCACAACCACCCTGAAAGTATCTACCTCCATATCACAGACAAGGAAACTAAGGCAATGAGACCAACTTCTAAGTACCACTATTGACTGCAACTCAGAAACTAAGCAGGTTTCATGTCTCTACTATACTTGTAATAGTTACTGAAAATTAATTTAGTTATGGTGATTAATTTTAACAAGAGAAAATATTTGATCCATATTAGGAATCGTACATAAATAACCATGATATGGTTCATAAGTATGTACTATGATTTAGGAGCTAAGAGAGCCTTATCTTACAAACCTATTCAGCTCATCATTTACAATATCCCTTAGCAGCAAAAAGTAGCTACTCAAACAGCTCTGAAAGAAAGAGAGACTTCACATTCAAAAACCTACTTAAATAGGTAGCTAAAATATAGTACTATTTCCTTTTATTTAAAATAAGTTAACATAAAATCTCAAGATGTTGTGTACCAAAATTTTATCTAAAAATAAAAACACCTTTGAGAAAGCACTCTAAATTGAGGCAGAAGTAGTTAAGAAATCACAACTTTCATAAATTACCTTCCCAGGAGAAATGTCACAAAAGAGAATGCCAAGTTTATGAAGATGATGCAATCCAGTAATCAGGTCAATCCCAAATTCTCTCACAACATCTTCTGGGAGGTTTTCATCTTGAGCAATAACAGTTTCTAAGGAACCACCTGCAACAAGTTAATTAAAATCACCCATTTCAACCAGCCAACACCACAGACTGCCTGCAAGAGGTTCCACACTGGCGGATACTGAGCATTAAAAAATGATTAAACAGTAAACCCTGACAGTCTGGCAGCAGAAACACACAAGTGAGCAAACACAGTGGTCCCAGACTGCAACAGAAGTCAGCCCATACTCCAGAGCCAACTCCAGGCGGGTACCTGCTCTGTCTGGAACATTGGTAAAAAGTAAACAGGTGGAATAAAGAACAATCACCCCAGATCCCTCAGTGAATGAACAGCTGCAAAAATTAGTGTTAAATAGTAACCCAAAACTGTGAACTTAAATCATATTATGCAATTATAGTTTTGTTCACTCATGTGCAATGTTAGTGTCACAGTCTGACTTTCCTTAACAGTTAATCAGATCGAGTGTGCACACTGATGAGTTAAAAGGCCAAAGGCATGCACCCTGCAAATTCCACTGCTATATTCTTCCAAGATCCCAGTTAGACCTCTACCATCTACGTGCCAGAAACGAATTTTTTTTTTTTTTAAAGGACAAGATTACGACAGCCAAGTGCAGAAAAAGTGAGAAGTCTCTGCTGGCATCTGAAAGTTCAATCAGAATTACTAGGATGGAAGTAAGAGGTATTTGGGGGTTTGTTTTGTTGTGCTGAGTGAGGAACCATTACAAACACAGGCATACAGTAGAGTTAGGATATTACACCTGTTCAGGGAACAGAAACAACAGCTGAAGCAAAAAGTAATACTAGAGGTGTCCCCTGATAACCCTGTTGAGTGTGTCCATGTGTGGAAGTACTCCAACCATCATCTTGTCCTACTGAATCAGAAAAATAAAAAGCAAAGAAATTACTACTCTAAATTACCCCTTTTATGATTAAGTTTTATAAATTCTAATGCAATACAATAGAGTCATAAAGCAATAATTACAATGTAGTTTAATATTTAATGATTCCTTATTATTCAATGTATAAATAAAAGTACACTAAGAGTGGTACTTAATTACTTTGTTCCCTGTTAAACTCTTAAAATGTTGAAACTAAAAGCCCAGATATACATGCAGTCACCTTTTCCCCTGCATACAGTCCTAGAAAGTTGAGTAAAGCAACAGCTGTAACATGTTATGTCTAATTATTGCCATGTGGTGATATTTGTTGGTTCACCTTTGTACTTTTCCACATTAAGTTTTTATAAAGTATCCTATTCACAAAAAGATGATCACTTTATAAATTTGTTAGCTAATTAATCTAGTTAACCCCTGAAATGTTTTTCATTTATTGGGGGAAACTTGTTTGATAAATCAATCATTACTTTAAGATATCTCTAAATTTTTATGCCAGTTTTTTAGTAATGTAACAAAGTCAACCTCAAATTGAATTTTACATAATTTCTCCTCTTATGAAAAACACCTTTGCTCTTTACCCTTCCCTAATATCAAGCAACAGATTTTCATGTTAATATAGTAAACAATATCAATACTACTTATATCTGTAATAGAAGATCAAAGTAACAAAACTTACACCATTTGCTTTTTCAATAGTATGAAAGGTGGCTAAATTCATAGCGCTTCTTACACACTCTCTTACCTGTGCAGAGTTCTACTACTAGCCAGAGATGATTGCTGGTTTCATACCATTCATGAAAAGTTACAATATTCTTGTGTTTAATTTCATGGGTGAGACGGACCTATAAAAACACACAGCATTCACTCAAGAAAGTTCTTAAAATCTTGCCTCTACTGAGAAACATCTAAATATATAATTGGTAAATGGATAAGAAAATGGTTGAATTTCGGCAAATTCTATACAGATATTAGAAATGATGGTTATGAAGGCTGGTTACACAGAAAAACGCTAACTTAACATACAACCTTAAAAATGACTTTTTAAAAACCTGTGAAATACTGTTTTGTGTATTTGTGTAAATACAAACTGCAAAATAATTATTTACAGGAAAATGACCAGAAGGTGTGTGTATTCCAAAATAGCTGCTGTTATTTTGGTGAAACTACTGGTGTTTTTAAATTCTAATTTTCTCCCATTTTCTGTTTTCTATAATAATACACAGTACTTTTACAACCAGGAAAAAAAATAGTTTCAAAGGGGAAAAACCCTTTACTAAGTAACCTAAATGCTCAATAACACAATAGTTAACTAAGTTGTATTATCAACTGACAAAATATTAAATCAACAATAAAATGTTTATTTAATTTTATAACACAGAAAAATGACAGTGTTAAGTGAAAAAGGCAAGAAACAAAATTATATAGTACCATAGTTAAAACATTAAAGAAAAAAATCCTAGAAAAAAACTAGAAGGAAATCAACCAAAACATGAACAGCAATTGTCTTCAAATGACAGAACAATGGTGTTTTCTTCATTTTTCCATATTGTCCAAGTTTCTACCGTGAACATGTATTACTTTTATAACATTTAAAAGAACTCTCAGAAGGATTCTGCGATTTTTTAAAAAATATTCTTTCTGAACCCTAATGTCATCAGTTCACCCAGATAATTAAAAGGAATCATTATAATAAAAACACTGACCTTAAAAATATACATTTCCATTACACCATAAGAATACTTGTGCACCAAAAACAAAAAATAAAGAAACAAAGATCTGCCAGTTAAAAAAATACTAAGCCATTTTGGAGTTTTTGCTTTCTCCCTTTAAAATTCCACTAAGTATAGAAAATTTTTAAAATGTGTACCTTAGTAGCAAACCATCAAGACCCAGAATTGCTGACAGCTACCAAAGTACTTTGGATCCTGTTCTTAAAAAATGTTGAGTCTGGGTTTGCCGTAAGTTTGATCAGGGAAAAAAAAAATTTGAGGCTGAGAAGGGTGTGTGGGTGGGATAAAGAGAGAGTGGTTAGTGGGTACAAACATACAGTCAGCTAGAACAAATAAGCCCCAATATTTAATAGCAGAAGAGGGTTCCTATAGTTAGCAACAATGCATTGTATATTTCAAAGTAGCTAGAAGAGAGGACTTGAAATGTTACCAACACATAGAAATAATAAATACTCAAGGTGATGACACCCCAAATACCCTGACTTGATCATTACACATTCTGTGTATGCATATACAAATACTCACGTGGACCCCATAAATATATAAAACATTTCATATCACTTAAAAAAATCACATCCAAATTCTACTACCATTTAACACAAGCTAATGGGCCCATATGTAAAGAGCCTCCTGTTTTAAAAATGCAACACTCTGGGAACTACATAGGCTCATACTGTAACACAATTAAAGGAAAGTGGATCCACAAAACTTAAAGACAGAAAGGAGAAAACCAAACCTCAGGGTGACCAGGAGAGAATTTGAGGAGCACCTGTAAGAAGCTACAAAAACTAATAAGGCCACCAGAGAATGAGCATGTTTAAGGGCACCCACTGATTGAGGCACAGAAAGAGGGAGGCCTTGATGAAAAATAAAGGGGATGTGGCAATTCTAATAGAGTCACCAACAGAACTGAGGTGCCAGCACCTCCTCCCAGCACTTCCCATCGTTTAACATGTGCCCAGGCCCACTTTTGCAAGACGCTGGCCACGCTGCCTCTCCAAATCTTGCCCTCCACCCTGACCTCAACCACCATCCACCTACTATGTTCAACGTGGGAACCACATGCCACATAAGGCTACTGAGAACCTGAGAAGCGCCTTGTCTGAACTGAGACGTGCAGCAAGTGTGAAATACACACAGGATTCTGAAAACTTCATTTCAAAAAGAGAACGAAAAATACCTTAATGTTCATACTGATTACATGTTGAAATGGTAATACATTGTACATATTGGGTTTAAAGTTAATTTCACCCATTTGGTTTTCCTTTTTCAATGTGGCCATGAAGAAAATTCTTTTTTATTTATTTATTTTTTTTTTGAGACAGCGTCTCTCTCTGTTGCCTTGGCTGGAGTGCCACGGCGTCAGCCTTGCTCACAGCAACCTCAAACTCCTGGGCTCAAACGATCCTTCTGCCTCAGCCTCCCGAGTAGGTGGGACTACAGGCATGCGCCACTACGCTCAGCTAATTTTTTCTATGTTTTTAGTTGGCCAATTAATTTCTTTCTATTTTTAGTAGAGACGGGGTCTTGCTCTTGCTCAAGTTAGTTTCGAACTCCTGACCTCAAGTGATCCACCTGCCTCAGCCTCCCGAGTGCTAGGATTACAGGTGTGAGCCACCACGCCGGCCAATAAATTTTAAATTAGATTTGTGGCCCCCATTGTATTTCTATTGGATGGCGTTGCTAGACTTTACTGAAAACTGCATTACCTCCAAAATCGTTCATACATCCTAGCCAGTGACCACAAACACTTTCTAGCTAACTCACACTAGGATTCTGATCCTGGTTAAATTCAACCCTCCACACCCTATGCATACACGAGAGCAGCTGAAGTAAATACAGACTATGCTGATTCATATACCTCCTTAAACTTAGGATCACAAATCTCAAATGGCCCCAGACAATCTGCTCTTTAAGTGACTACTCACACCTCTTCTTTCCTCTCACCTCTGACGCTGTCTTCCCCTACTCCTCTCCCACCTTCTAACTGATGACTTTACTTTTTTCAGAGGAAACAGAATCAGTCGGAAGAGAACCTTCTCAAGCTCCTGGCACGAAATCTATGAGTCAACTTTCATCTTTTCCTATATACCTGCCTTCCCTCAACTGTCTGTGCTCCTTTGAAAAGCCAATGCTTCCTGTTGTATACAAGATCCCATCCTGGCCAGGCACAGTGCCTCACACCTGTAATCCTAGCATTCTGGAAGGCCGAGGTGGGCGGATTGCTCAACGTCAGGAGTTCGAAACCGATCTGAGCAAGAGTGAGACACTGTCTCTACTATAAATAGAAAGAAATTAATTGGCCAACTAACATATATAGAAAAAATCAGCCGGGCATGGTGGCACATGCCTGTAGTCCCAGCTACTTGGGAGGCTGAGGCAGGAGGATTGCTTGAGCTAGCTGACGCCATGGCACTCACTCTAGCCTGGGCAACAAAGCGAAACTCTTGTCTCAAAAAAAAAAAAAAGATCCCATCCTCTCTCAAACTTCATTGCTACAACTGACTCCTCTTCACCCTATGCAAATATATTTCCCTTGCTAATGGATCCTATCCATCAGCATGCAAACATGCAAGTATTACCTCTGTGGAGAGGCTGCCAGGTACTTACCTAACATCTACCTCACCTATGTCCTCAGTAATGGAATCTTTGTATTGTTGGAAACAGTCTTGTGCCTGACCAGGAAAGACTTCCTTGCCTCCTACAACGACCAGGGGACACCAACAAGATGTTACCAGAGTCACTAGCTGGATTTCCCGGAAAACCTATAAAGGGGTTTTATGCAAGATATCAGGTAACGCCTTGGCACATCTTTCCTTTCCCTTCCTCCCTGGAAAACTGACATGATGGCTAAAGTTGCAGTGGCCCTCCAGCCACTGTGAAATGGCCTTGAGCACGTAAGCCAAGCAGTAAGGATAGCAGAGAAGAATGACGAGGAATTGATGGTATGGTGGAACCAGCTTTCAAGTGCTGGACTTTCTTTACGTGAGAGAATATAAACCACCTGCTTTATGAAATGTAAATTCAGGTCTTTTAACAGAAGTCAGACATAACTCCTAATAATTCTTTCCATCTTTTTTTTCTTTTCCGAGTCACAGTCTCACTCTGTTGCCCTTAGAGTGCTGTGGCGTCAGCCTAGCTCACAGCAACACTCAAAACTCTGGCTCAGCACATCCTCCTGCCTCAGCCTCCCGAGTAGCTGGGACTACAGGCATGCGCCACCATGCCCGGCTAATTTTTTCTCTATGTTTTTAGTTGGCCAATTAATTTCTATTTTTTTTATTTTTTTTTTTTTTAGTAGAGACAGGGTCTCGCTCTTGGTCAGGCTGGTTTCAAACTCTTGACCTTGAGCAATCCACCCACCTCGGCCTCCCAGAGTGCTAGGAATTTTTTCCATCTTAACCTTCTATCTCCATCCAGCTATCACCTCCTCTGGCTCCTTGATATAGCAGAACGCCTTAACAATGGCCTCTACCTTCTCCTCCCACTCCCTCTTAAACCCACTGCAATTCTGGCTCTCACCACTTCACTGACACCACGCTCTTCAAGGTCCTCAGTCCTCACCTTATCAGATACATTTCACGCAACTAATTTCTTTTCTTTCTGTATAATTTTCTTTACTTGGCCTCCCATGACACCCATGATTATCTCTT